AGCTGTTCGTAATACTCAGTCAGGCGGCATCAAGGGTTAAGCCTCTTTAACAGGATGGTAGGTCACAAGTCACAGCCTCAGGGTCTCCAGTTACACCAGACCGCGGATTCAGAAGCAGAGTGGTCAAGGAGGACAGTTGGAGGGGAGTCGGGTCGGACCGATAGATGAAGATAGAGCGACGGGGGTATTTTAGGGCAGTGAGAAATGGAAGGAGGCTAAACTCCGAAATGATCCAGAGGTTTTGGATGCTGCTGCAGAGAATCTGGCTCTTGCTGCTGTTCATGTTGATGTTGCTGTTGATGTTGCATCAGTCAGAGACTCAAGTCAAGTCTCAAATGTCACAGTGAGCAATGAAGAAACAATAGTGGACTCCTACCAATACAGAAAGACACATGAAAGGTTAATAAAGCAATTTAGCTGTTGCCCCCGCGCGACCCGACCCCGGAGAAGCAGGTTGAAGACGAGTTGAGATGAGAGATCTTTTCAGCTCCGGTTCCCTCATCTTCAAAACGGTCGACATTAAGCTTTTTATGATTTGGATTTGCCTCTACTTTGCAGACAGCCCCCAATATCTAGTCCACATTGGGCTGCATATAGCTTATTCTGATTTCCTGGTGATATGTTTTTACCTACTTGTAATATTCTATGGCTTTTTAAAAATATATAACTGTATGTGCTGATAGCATCATATGGGCTAGACGTGGCATAAATTACAAGCATCTCCTTTTGTCCACTTTTGGTCAAATCCGAAAATATTCTGTGGTAACGTCAAACAATGGATTTGGCAGGAGAGTGCAGACAGTGCAGAAGATGCTGGCCGTTCAACTCCCTCGTCAGTCTGCATTGACCACATATCAGGTTCCCTCAGACCTGAGCGGACATCGTAAACCATGTGCTTCGTGGTGGTTGGTACGGTGCTGTCCTTGGTGCTGAAATGGATAATCTGGAACCCTCTCTGTTTTATTGATTGTGTTAGGTGTTTTGTACATAATTGTTGAGAAACCACAAGTCTGCCACTACACATGAAAACCTATAGTCTGGTGATTAAACAGACACTGTTCCACTGTCCTCCCATCACTCCCATCAAAGAGGTACTGTAGTACTAGTTCATTGTTCACTAGATGATGGTCCCAAACACTGCTGCTGATAGCTGATTATTTCCTGTAGCTCTATGGGTTTGAGGACTGTGCACTACATCAAAAATACAACTGTAATGTTGTCTGTAAAGTGTTAATTATTTGGCTCTTAGAACCATGCAGAGATGTGTAGCCAACACGAAATTGGAAATGTTAATTAGATTTCTTGGCTTGGTTCCTTACACCTAATTGATATACTTTATATTGGCAATAGCATAATAAAATGATACCAGCCCTTGTAGTAATGCTGCTTGTGATATAATTATGTTATTGGTGAAAGCTTTCACTTAGAATTTGTCATTCTTTAACGTATTTAGAATCCATGATGTCCTGCACTGGAGCTGAAACCACCACACTTCTGGCCTTTTCATCAAGGAGCCCTCTACCCACCGGTCACTGCCATCTACTTCTGATAGGACCAAATGAGACGGCCTCAAGCCCTATTGATCAACAATGGACAGGTGAAAACTCAAAGGCCGAGATGTGGCCTTTATTCTAAACCTTGTCATCCATTCTGGTTCCATGAATGGATATGAAAATATTCCCAACTTCAACGGTCTCATCTCACAGGTCCACTTTTGCCATATGAAAAATGCCTTTAAACATTAGAGCAAAGCCTGCGCAAAGCAAGCTGTCAGCTGGCCCAAAGAGTAGCGGGCAAACTGATGCCGCCACAACTCACTCACGTTTTTCCAGAGCCCCCAAGCCGGCGAAAGGCAAACAGGCTGTAAATTCAGCGCCAGGCTCCCGCTCGGGGCTAGAACCGGGCTCTGTGTCAGGGAGCGTGTCTGCACCAGCGCCGAAATCGCCTGGGGGTCAAGGGTCGGTGTCGAGGCCAGGTTCGAAGGTCAAACGTGGCACAGCAGCAGACAAAGGAGCAGGTCGTGGTTCGGCGAAGGCTCCAGGGGGTAAAACCCTGTCCATGGAGAACATCCAGTCTTTGAGTGCTGCCTATGCAACTTCCGGCACCATGTACCCGTGTGAGCGGGACTCCTTGGAACCCTCAGGCGGGTACCCTAAAGGCACCATGACGCTGGGCAGGAGCACCAGCCACTCCTCCAACAGCAACCGAACAACAGCCATGGGCAGCACCCCAAACATCACCTCGTCTGGCCTACACCCCCCTTTGGACGCCCACGGAGACCAGACTTCGCACCCTCCGAGCACTTCGAGTCTGCGGCGCCAGTCTGGGAGGCATCCTCAGGCCCCCGACGTGGCCGGACGGGGAGAAATTTCCTCGTTTGATCTCCAATGTCAGCTGAGGGAGCTGCAGAGGGAGAACGATAACCTGAGGAGAGAGCTGGATACGGGGAGGGATGCAAGGACGGGTCCCAGCATGAACAATGTCAACTTCTGGAGTCCAGACGTGAAAAGAGACAGGGGGGTTAGGCGTGAGGAGGCGGGGAGGACCTCGGTTTTGAGGGACCAGTACAGGACCAACCAAGACGATTTGCAGGTGAGAAAAAGGACACGTTTGTTTAAAAGAAATGTCTTCCCTTAAAGAGAACATGTGGTTGTGAGCAAAACACAAGCAATTTCCTAAACTTTTTAGTGCTTTTTAGACATATCGAAATGCTCAATTTCGATATGTCACTTTATTAGGAAAGATTATATTTAGCATATTTATTTCATTTTGAAACAAAAATATTGCCTGCTCACACATCACATTCAGACATTTTTGTAGACCCGCCCCTCCTCTCTGTACATCATACCTTTTGTTGCCATCTCCAAGGTTGCTCAGAGAGGCTTTTTTGCAATCCGTTTGTCGAGGTGCCAGGCTCCGTGCTGTCTGTGTTTCCAAGGGAACGTGCCCTAGTGGCAGCTATTCAGCGGGCTTAGTTGAAATTTAAAAAACGCTCACAGCTTCTCCTGAAGGGATGGTGACCAGTCTGTCTTGTGCAACCTGTCCGTGCAGTCTGTCTCACGACCTTCTTTGTCTCCATTTGTTTTCCTGCAATGTCACTTCCCTGTGGGTCCGTGTTTGTCTGGTGTAAAGATAATACTTGTTTGTCTTGATACATATTTCAACCCCTTTTGCACTTGTGTAGTAGTTTTTTGTTTTATTATACATACTGTATCTTTGATCAGACTCCTTTACCACACACTACTACTGCATTCGTATTTAAAGACTTTTCCATCTTACATTGTCGTACAGTGAGAGGACACTGTGACACCAACACATTTCCAGTCATTTTAACATGAAGCAAGAACATTTGAAAATGAATATCGAACCACAGAACTGTTTTTTCGGGAACTAAATAATGTAGTTGTATTAAGTTCCAATTGATACATGTTTCTCAAAACGCTTCCTTAACAAGAAGAAATGTGTACTAAAATGGCATGATCTGCCTTTACTACCAATACTGTCATGTAAGGTAACACACAGGTGCAAACAAAACTATACACAGCGCTTTTACCGCCCACAAAATGCCAGAGAGATTTAATTTAGCCCTACAGACATTAAATATATTCTGGTGTGCAACTCCCCGCGTCTTTACCATTAAAGAATCAGACAAAATGTGTAATGTTTGATCCCATAAACAAGAATGAACGCATAGGTGTACCGAATATGTTGTGGGTTACTGGGAGCAGAATTTATTTAGTGTATTAATAGTGTCAAAACTGGCATAAAATAACTTTAAACGTTTAGCTGTTCTCCTCCTCAAATCCAGTCAGTCATTTTGCTTTTCCATAGCTTTCATATCCACAAAACGGCATTCATAATAAAACATTTCTTACGCCCCCTTTCCTCACATACATCAAGGGATAGTTCAGCTGCGGTGATTATGATCAGGACTTTGATAGAAATAATAATCACTCATTAAATTGTTACAAACCCTTCTGGTCTCCCAATCTCAACGTTCTCTTCCGTTTCAATCTGATTTTATAAAGCCCAGTTTCTTTTAGTCACCTACTCACTTTGAGAAGGCTAAAGCTATACCTCATGCGGGATATGCATCCGCTCCCTTATCACCTCTATCTTCCATTTTCACTTTAAGATGTTTACTCATTTTCCATTTGCCCCCTGAGAGTCACTGGGAAGATGCCCGTTTGACAAGATAACTTTGTAATTAGCATAAGGAATGTCACCTTTTCTCTCAGCTCTCCCGACCAGAGTCATCTCTAACCATCTGTTTGTTTTCTGTGTGTGTCTGTGTGTGTGTTTGGATTGTCCACCCACTCTGAGTTGATATTCAGTGCTAGCGTGTTGCATTGATTACCCATGTTCACCCTCGCCTTCCTCCTACGTCTCAGCCCTGTGTCCTTGGCGCGTCCCACCTTCTGGACTTGAGCAAATGAGTAAGACGATTTGAGGAGAAAATTGTGGTATCTTCACACAGATGATAAGATTCCTAATTTAACTTCCATTTACTGTTGTGTTTCTGGATCATGTTGCATGACAGGGAATGATTTTGATCATTCTTTTTCTGGCGTTTTGATTCGTAAGTGTCATAATTGTAGACTTTGAGAGATTTGTCACCTTTCTTTTTATCAGTTTATGATTGCTTTATTGGGACCCCATAAGCCAGTAGCTGCTATGATTCTTGTTGTTTATTCTTTGTCAACGTGGAAAACATCCCACTTCATCTTGTCTTCTCAAGCTTTGATGTCCACCTCCAAACATTTCACCTACAATTACTGTTTCTCCCTGTGTTTTGAAAAGAAATACCCCCTCCTAGTGGCCAAAGCATGTAGCAAACACCATCCAGTTTGAAGTAATCTACTTAATGGTTTTTATATTGAGGGTTTATCTTTTAAATATTCTTTTTTTTTGCCTTAATGCATCTGCATGTCTTTCTTATGTCACATCTCCCTGCTGCAGCCCGGCGATATAAGAAGAAACAAGGTCTGTTTTATGTACCCCACTGTCTTCTTCTTTACAATGTGTCCCCCTGTGTTTATGAATTCTTAATCATTTTTTGTTGACTTTGTTTTAAATCTCACTCTCTCTCTTTGTAGCAGCTGCCGCTGACGGTTCAGGAGCTTCAGGAAGAGCTGAAGGCTCACAGGGACATGAACAGTCGCTTGCAGCAACAGCGACAGCAGGGGAACTCTGGCTCCTATCGAGAACTCCATACAGACCGGGACCACAGGGGGGGGCTCAGCCCCGGCCCCAGCCCCAGACAAAGCTCCAATAACCTACACAGTCCCGGGCCGAAGAATAGCGCAAGAGCCAGTCCGTCCAGCACATACAATCCCAGGCAACAGGAAGCTGATGTCATCATTCACAGCCCTGGTTATGGCTGTAACACCGCAGTAGCAGCTCAGAGAATCAGCCCCGCCAACACCCTTCAGCCTGGGCCGAGGAACAACTCCGATCAGCCCTTCTACAGTCCTGGCCACGGCCCGGTGGTAGCGCCCGGCTCTGGTTCGTTTCGTGCCGGCAGCCCTTGCCAGGTGCCCGGCTGTGACGGCTTCTCCTCGCCACCTCCCGTGGATCAATCGGAGGAGAATTTCTACCGGCTGCAGTCGGAGCGCGAGCGGCAGATCAAGGAGCTGTTCCTGCTGAGGAAGACCGTGGAAGAGATGGAGATGAGAATGGACTCTCAGAAACAGACCCTGGGCGCCCGGGACGAGAGCATCCAGAGGCTACTTGAGATGCTTCAGGGCCAAGGGCACGGCCCGGGTCAGGGACAGGGACACTGGGGTCGGGGACAGCGGCCCGGCATCATAGCGATGGCGGCGCAGGAGGCCGAAGCACAGCTGGAGAACATTCACGTGAGAGAGGTGAGTTTTTCTTCCTTGTGTCTTTTTGTTTGATTTGTATATTGCTTGAAAAGATAATAATTGGCATTTTGCAGTTTAAATAGTGTGCATTTTTCCATGTATGTGTGTGTGAGTGCTGAGTAGAAAGCTGCTCAGCAGGTCTTATCAATGGGATTCATTAACATACGGAGAGCTCTAAGCCTGTGTTCAGCCATGCAGTTTTACAATACAACTCTGTTTGTGTGTGTGTGCGCGCGCGTGTGTACGTGTTCCTGGATATACACACGCTCACATGGCACTTATGGTCATATGGTCATATGGTCTGTGTGTTGAGAATAGCCTTTGGCAGTTTTTCGACAGCATGTGGCATGCATTACGCTTGTTGTGCTTTGGAAATTAAAAGATAATTAAATAAGGTTAAAAAATGGTTGTAACACATGTGGTTACACTCATACCAAACACTTTCTTGTTTTCTTTCTTCCTTGGAGACTGAATTCTATTTTTCATTTGAATTTGAAAACGCTCTATTGTGCTTCAGTGTGACACAGGAGTGTCTGCGTCCTCTGGCTTGCACTGACTCTGTGCTTCTTGTTCCTCCCTTGTTTATTTTTAACTCCTAAATCTTCTTAGCCTTTAATTTCGCTCTCTCTCTGTGCGTGTGTGTGTGTGTGTGTGTGTGTGTGTGTGTGTGTGTGTGTGAGAGTGTGTTGCATGTCTGTGCATGGCTCTGCTATTGTTTATTATGATGTTCTTGTTCTACTCGTCTATATTGTTTGTCTGCTATGCACAGTTACATGTGATAGTGTGTGTGTGTGTGTGTTGTTGTGTGTGTGTGTGGTTGTGAGCATGCATCCACATCTGGGTCCTGTCGGCTTAGTGTTTTTAGCCTAGCCGCCGGTGGCTGATGGGATATCCACCTGAGCCGGTCACTCTTATGATTTTTTCGGACGGCAGCATGGCTGTTTCCGTCCATGCTAATGCCACCACTGCTGTGCATGTGCGTGCTTGTGTGTGTGCGTGAGGGACCTGACCATGCTGTGTGTATAATAGGTGAGTACCTGTTCACACTGAGCTATTTTTAACTACTTGACAGCTTAACACATACCGTGGGTGCAATGTATTTGGGGGGGAGATGGGAGAAAGGAGTGTTTTTCTAAGCTAAAAAAACAAGCTGTATTTGTCTGAATATTAATGTATGATTAATGAGTGAAAACACTCTGAAAGCTCTGATTGAAAAGAGAAGCGATTGTTGTTCTTTCGTGCTTTCCCCCCGTCTCCTTCTGACCTCCTCTCCCCTGAGGTTGAGATGGTGTGATGTCTGTTTATGTACATATGCATATATATATATATATACGCTCCTACTATATATATATATATATATATATATATATATATATATATATATATATATATGTGTGTGTGTGTGTGTGTGTGTGTGTGTGTGTGTGAGAGAGAGAGAGAGAGAGAGAGAGTATTACAGGTTTATAACAATTAAATGCCAAAAATCAATGCATTGAATCAAAATAGTTCCTCATAACTGAGATAATACACATTGGGTTGAAGTAAAGAGACACTGTCAGACACTTTGGGTGTGAACCAAAAGTTGACGAATTAAAAAATGTAGTTTGCTAACATTGTGATGAAGTGTAGCCAAATTGTCAGACAGCTTTGATGTGGTTGTGGTTGGTGTTGAATCGAAGGTTGGTCTGAATTAATACTAATTTGAAGGGATTTCTATGCACTCATTGAACTGTGCCTAATTCCTGTGAAGGCCCCTTGCCTTTGTTTGAACATAATTAAGCTCTACACTTGCACTTGTCATGGTTCGTGAAGGAGAGCCTATGATAGTATGTGCCTCTATTAGGGTGCACTACTCTGGGCTCTTTTGATTAACTCCAAAGGAAACCAGCCCAACTGCCTTTCATTACCGTGCCCATTACTCTCCTTCAAATGACCCAGCTTGTTTAGCTTGAGCTGGGATAATAAATGCCTCCATTTTCAGTTCACCTCTGCTTTTATTTATCCTTCAAACATGGCTGAGGGTTGAGACAGAGTTCTTGGTATTCTTTACTGCTCGGAAGAAAACCGATCACCTTGAGAGTGTGTTTAAAGTATTATGTTTCCGTGACAACCTGTAGGTTTGTAAGATGCAAACTGTGCTCTCTCGCTTGTGTTTCATTAAACACATAAAATATTTACTGAGACATTCTTGCAGTGCTAGCAATGTCCACAAAGTGGCAGTGTTCTATTAGAATTTAACTTGTGTGATGTGTGAACTCTGAGCCTTGGCTGTGTGTGATGGTACACACACACACACCAAGAGGCATAAATCTGGGCCTAATCGGCTTTCCCCAGCCGCCTGGTCCCCGTGGACCCAATAATAACAGCCTCACCACTGGTCTGTTCCTGCACAGCCCTGACCTGCTGCCAAGGGCGTGCACACTCACATGCACGCTCCTACTGTAGAGTTTTTTACTCTGAGATGGCATATTGAATTTTCACACATTTCATACAGTAGATTTCACATGGTCACTGTGCACGGAGACATCTCCGTCACGGTAGAGGTCCTGCCTCTATCCAGAGCGGCAGCAGGACCACTGAGTTTGTGGCGCTGTTCTAGTGTTGAGAACTTATGGGTACAGCATTTATGGCTCCCCTGTTTTATCTTTAGTATGACTGACTCCAGAAGTCCTGTGGCTCTTTTTAGCGAGCGCCCCTTGTCTGCCCTGCGTCCTCTCTCAAACATTAAAGAAACTACAGACATGTAACTTTTTTAGGGGCCGGTTTGCTTTCATGTCTTTCCCGCTTTTTCTTTTTAGCTCTTTCCCATTCCAACGGCTTATCAGCTCACTTATTTCTCATTTGTCTTTTTACTTTTGTATGTTTGTCTGCCCATCAATATTTCCCCCAGGTTGATATGCCATCTGCCATCGTAGTTCATCGGTAAAAAAAACATTCACCCGGGTGGGACTTTTTAAAGCTCCATTGTTGTTTGACTCATTGCAGCCTCGCTTAATGAAGCAGCTCACCCCTAAAATGATAACAACACCACTGTAAGTAAATAAGCAAAAACACATGCCCACCACAACACATCTTCTCCATGCTCTGTTGGTCTTCCAGAATGTTTGAGCGGAAAGGTTCAAACTTTCTCCTCATGCCTTCCCCTATTTCTCAGAAACACTTTCCCTCCCATTCTCTCTTTTTTTGCAGACTTCGAGCGTATAGGCAGGCATATTTTCCCATTTGTGTCAAGAAAATGTGTTTCCTTTTTCTCTCACTGATGGAAAAGGGATGGGAATGTGATTGATGAATGTGTGTGATTGTATGTGTGTGTGTGTGTGTGTGTGTGTGTGTGTGCGTGTGCGTGTGTGTCTATGTAGAGTCTGTTCATGTTGTAGTTTGTGCATGGCATATTTGACACCATTGCCTTTGGGCTAAAATTGAACCTTTTGACCGTATCCTTCATTCAGGATGCGGGCACTTATTGCTAAAGTGTTATGTTCGATCCTATTCATTCCATATGCTTGGTCCTCTTAACACATGTGGAGCAGAGGAGACATTCTTTGATGACATGCTCTCTTGCATGACTTAATTTACCATTTTGTACTGCAGCTATACTCTAAACACTGATGATAAGAAGTTAATACACACACACTCTCCATGGGAGAGATAAATACATGCGGACGATTGGATGCACACTTACTGTGACACATTAATACACATATGGTGAGTAGGAGATTAGGATCGTGGCAGCAGTGGGCATACCAGTATGTGGGAGGCATACTCTGACAGCAGTAATCCCTCCTTATCCACAACTGACATGGACAGGAGGATAAGGGCCTTGTCTACTCTCATTTCAACTTACTGGGAGGAATTGGAGCAACCAGTTGCCTCTGCCTGTATGTATACTCATACTTTAAACAATATACAGCTGCTCCTCCTTTTCCCCACTACCGTGGAGACATATTTGTATCCTGTGAAGCTCCTAGGCTGTCACTTGCAACTGACCTCTTTCTATAAGGGTTTATTTTGTTTTAAAGTAACACAGCACACACTATCCGGTGCACAAGTAATTGAAATGATTTCGCTATGAATCCTCTGTGATGGTGGAACCTTAAAGCTTTGAAGGGCCTACGACTCACAAACCAGTTAATAAATAAATGAAGAAATAAAGGTAAATCTGCGCATGGATTGAAAGAGCAGCGTTTGAGCAAAGGCAACGGAGACTGCGACTGCTCCAGCGGTGGCCAGTAGATCAGGTAGTGGTTGTGCTGAACAGGAGGTTCTTAAAAAAGACAACACTAGTCTCAGCTATACCTCCCTGGTCGTATACATCTTTCAAAAAAAGTACAGTAATTCGCAGGAGTTGAATAAGATGAAAATGACAGCTGGATAGTTCATTTCTTGGTGTCTTTGCTCTGACCTCACACATACCTGCTCAAACAGGTGGCAGCTGCTTCTCTTGCAGATATCAACGAGCTTCAGAGCGTGCAGTTGGTGTTGTGGTGGTGGAGAGGCTAACTAAAGCTAAGCAGCAGCAATGACGGCTGTTTTGCGATGGATAGATCTTGCATTGAGTGTCGGAAACCGGCTAGCCTGCTGCACTCTATTTCTTAGCTGGGACTCATCTGGAGTGGCGTCGTTTTAGCTCTATGGTCATTTTTGCAGGTGCTTTAAATGGCAATATTTTCCTTAATTATTTTGAAGGAATCTAATATATTACAAATACACAATCATGAGATGGTCATTCCAGGTTTGAAAAACTATGGTCATTGAAAATGTGTTGCTGGACAGTTCAATCTCGAATGGACTTTTTCCTAATGTGCAACAAGTATGTTCGACCCGCCATGTGCTCCTTTGCTTGATAGTGTGTGTGCTCGCGTGCTGGCATAGTTGTAGGTCAGAGCGGCCATTAAATATTGATGGAAGAAGTGTAGCGCATGTGCTGGTAGAAAGTGTTGCTAAGCAAGAGCTTTAGCCTGCCAGAGACATCTGCGAGGGAGCGGGAGAGGGAGCGAGAGAGAGTTAACAAGTGAGAGATAATAAATAGAGAGATGAAGACTGAAAGATTCTCATGACCTATAGCTGAGTGCTTCTCCTTTCTGCTGACAAACCGAGAAAGAAATACGCAAAGGAAAAGAGCAGAGAACATACCAGAACCCGCTGTTGAAGATGGAAAAAAATCCTCAAGAGAGAATCAAACACAGTCCAGCTTAAAGATCGTTGGATGGTTCCTTGTTTTTTTTTGCAAAACTAGAATTTCTAAGGATGTACAATAGATAGCATTTTGAATAGGGACAGAGACTGGAACTGGTCGGACCGATCCTCTTTTTTTTAACGGCTCTGAAGGTGTAGGTGTTCAAAGGTGCAAAAGATGATGAGCCGCCAGGCTTATTTTTACCGGGTGCCTCCCCAGGAGCTCCATCGCAGGAACCAGCTCCAGGCCGATCCGGCCAACACCAGGGCTCTGCAGACTGTCATTGATATGAAGGTAGGACGCACAGTGGATCTGGATCTGAACGTAATGTTAGGTACCAATGTCCTACACAAGTTTAAACCGCGTTTGAGCAGTGTAGTTTGCAGCCTGCTGTCTTGTTAAGTGTGATATCAGCCTCAAACCAACAAACCTTCACTAGTTGATGTGCACTGCTGGATGTGAGCAGCAGCAGAGCATTGGACTTTGAAATGTGGACACAAACATACATGCAGAAACGATCTGCCAAACATTGTCTTATTGTGGCGGCCGTGTCTATATAAAGGCCATTATTGGCCCATGCACAGTTGAGTACTTATTCAATTTGTTTCAAATGTCACATATGGAAGCTTTCACTCTCATTTAAACCCTTTGAAGTCATTAAAGCTGTAAAAAAATGCAGTTGACTCCACATGTGTCTGCGTGCACAATCCCCCCCACCCCTCCCTGCACACCCACATCGCATCGATTTAACACTTGTTCTAAAAGTGGTTCCTTTACTTGAAAACCACAGTTATTTTTCACACGTACTTTGTGATTTGTCTACCTATTAACAGACCGCACATGTGCTAGGATCCTCACGCTGCTGCAAGTGCATGAGAGGAGCGGAGTGTATCAATTACAAAGGCGAAGCAAACCTTGCCAGAAGGATTAGTCATATGAAGGAGGAGAGAAAGAAACACAGCCACAGTCCTCCTTTGGTGAATTTGATAATGAGAATGACATGTTTTCCCACACTGTGGATTTTTTAAACAGTCCTCGTTTTTTTTGTAGTGTGCGTGTGTGTGTGTGCTGTTGCTTTTTTATCATTAAATGGTGAATGTTTCCATTTTTTTGATTACAGAAAACCAACCCCCCTTTCTGTTTTGATCCTGACATTATTTGGCAGGTACAGTAATAAGTGCTCACCTCTTTATCCTTCCTGTTGTGGCTGCGGATATACAGTATTTGTGCTCTTCCTTGGTTGGAGTGGAGCGCCTTCATGTTTCAGAGGTTTTAAGGCACACACCTTTGTATTCCTATATTACTGAATGCTGTTTTTGATATTGACCTCTGTGTTTTATTTGGGTTAGCCTCGTTTCTCTTCCTCCGGGAGGTATTTCTTCTCTCTCTGTACTCTGGAGGAGGTCCAGATAGCAATCAGAATTAAACACAGAGCAAAATTAATTGATCAGATATCAACATAAATCAATGTAAATGATTGGCCTCGGTGCTCATTGGAAAATATGTCTTTATACAGACTGTTTGTGTGTGTTGTGTGTATCTATATGCATTCCTTTATAACACGGTCTACTTCTATTTGTTTAGGATGGTATGCAGCACTGGTGGGTAGGGTTGATGTCAGAGGATGTAATAGACGTCAGATGCTTATATGTTGTCTGTGGTTTGTGCTGATGGCATCATACAATCTGCTTCAATTAAACGTCTCTTATCGTCCAAGGTTTAGCATTTAACGTGTGTCTGAACCCATGCAGCTAAACAACCCTAGGACCTGTCCATGACAGACCCTTCCATTCCCTCACAGATACCTTCAACCTTCACCCTGTTATACCAGACAATCTAGTCAGAAATAGGAATATGTATTAAATAGTTCTTTGAGCTACCATATTATATTCTCTGCACAGATATTTGTGTCGTCATGTCATCAAACATGGGCAGCTCTATGAGAGACGGTCGGTAAATGGTCTCGCGTCCATCTAGTTTTATAGTTATTCTGCTCTCTTTCGGTATTTGTACTTTTTTGCAAAACATGTTAGAGTAAAGATGATGGAAAGCTCAATGATATCTGAGGAAACCCAGCCCCTGTTAAACTCAAGAGCTTAATATCATATCTTAGTCGGACACAGACAGTTTACACGCCTTTTTTAGCTGGCGTCAATCTCTCCTTCCGCTTCCTGTCTTTTTTGCAGGGGGTCAACGCTAGGTCCTTCTGCTTAACGGTGCCCAAGACGACTGTGGTGTGATTAAAGAAATACAAACAAACCAATTTGTTTTTTGTGCCTATTCCAGTATTATAACGTGTGAAGCCTGACCTTTCTGTAGAATTGACAATGCGCTGTGGAGATCTGCTCTGCTACATCTTTGCTGACTCTTTGCCCGCCTACTGTTGCTGGTGCAGGACACCAAGATATCTTCCCTGGAGAGGAACATCAGAGACTTGGAAGATGAAGTCCAGATGTTAAAGACCAGCGGCCTGCTGCACCCTTATGACAGGCAGGATGAGCTGAAGCAGGTGGAGGTCTACAAGAGCCATTCTAAGTTCATGAAATCTAAGGTAGAATGCCTCAGAACGCCACGTGAGACAACTTTTCACTGCATGAACCAAGTGATGCATGTCTGCCTCGAAACATCAGTTATGACCGCATTGGCAAGTTGCCTGTCCACGTTGCATGTGCCTGGAGAAGCATGCATGAGCGTGGTGGAATCTTGATGGAGTGCAAGTTACGGGACATTGTGACTTTTGGCTGCTTTTTCACTGCATGACCCGCCTACACTTGATGAATATATCTTCATATACAGAGTAAGGTTTCTTGTTTCTTCCTTTCTTCCCATGAAATATTGGTTAGCCTTACCGACCATGCCTGTGTGATGACCAGGCATTGTACTCCTCTCCCATCTGTGACGGCCGACTGTTCTGGGGGAGCTATTGCCGTATCGGCTTGCAGTGCACCGTGTCTGTTTACTACCCTCAGCTGGCAGAAAGACCTTTAAAAGGCCCTACTAATATGTCTCTATTTCAGGCTGTATGGTTTATTCATTGGGACCCAGCAGTGTTTCGGACTGACGTGCACATTTTTTGAATAGGCTCATGAATATATCTACAGGAAAGAGAAACGTAGTATCATGTTTCATGTGAAAATGCATGTATTTTGTTTATTAATGGTGCTCTTTGTAGGGGCCATGTGTCAATGCATCGGGGAAGGTTCTTGATGCAATCATAAAAGAGATGTTTTCATGAATGGGGCCCTGATGGATGAATGTGAGCTTACAGCGACAGAGGAAAGGGCTCTCTCCTCACCCGTCCTGACCCGCGATGACATACATCCCAGTGATGGCACTGGCTTGCTCTCCCTTGTCTCGTCTTTCTGCGTAACAGAGAGACACCATGCGCGGTCACACAGATTCATCCTATATCCTTGAACTGTTTAGGGTCCTACAGTCTTACAGCTGCTGTGGCGGCTGGTGTTGAGTTGAGACTGTGATAAGGGAAACCGGAGAGGACAGCGTCCCTGTCCTCTCCGGTTTCCTCCGTGGGCTTTGATTTACTTGAACCCCAGAAAGTGGCTTCTGAGAACACGAACATTTGTTTAAGCGTGAGCGAGTACGACAGTGAAAACAGAGCTTTATCAAAGTGCATCATTCTGAATCCTCGGTGTGGTTGAGAAGTTCAGAGTGCGGCGCTGCCTGATTCCCCGGCGGCCTGTGTGCTGTAGTTTAGTGGCTTGCTGTCTTCTTGTCTGTGTCTCTCTATAGGGGCAGGCCTTGTCACCATGCCTGTCTTCCACCAGAACAGCTCAGACCTTCCTCCTCCCCCCACAACGTCCCTGGATCACAGAACAAGCAGAAGTACCCTCTCATTAGCCGCTCGCTTTTTTTCGTCTGGTATTTTTCCTCTGTCCCTTGTCTCCCTTTATCTTCTTTATAGAAGATCTATAGGGATCTTTATTTCTCTGAGGGTTGATAAGGCTCATCTCTTGTCTGGTCATATTTTTTCCGGTAAGATGTTAAACCTACTCACAAAAAAAGAGAAATCTCTACTTTGAATCAACTTCCAGAATTTGTGGCACTAAAGGACCGATGACAATCTTCCTCACTGCTTGGACAGAAAACTATTAATGGATTTGATTTATCTTGTGGGTTTCTGCCATGTTCTGTACGGCCTTGTATAAAACAAATCTGTAATAAGTCAGCTAAGTGAGTTGAATTCTGCTCCACATAACTGCCTGCATGTACTCCTTTGGCCTCTTTGACTTGGTGCATCCACGGGCCGGACAACAAACTGGTAATATAGGGGCTGCGTTATGATTCAATATTATAGTATATAATTCATGCAAGTAAATGTATCCAGCCACATGTTAATATTCTAGATATTTTAGTTAACAATTTTAAAGTTAAATGAAGAAGTACCTCCCTAACCTTACTTAAATGTGTCAGCATTATACATATTTCATCATTTTAATTTGAACACTTTTCATTGTGACATTAAATAATGAGATAGGCATCGGTTTAGTGCATATTTTACATATCTTTAATAAACATCATGCCTAATGTCTTTCAAAGTGTGGGGAAAATTGTGCCATTTAGTGATACACAACCGCAACGCATACATCTGTGTGTATGTGGCTGTGGGGCTGCATGCGCCTTTGCTTGGTGGATTCTTTTTCACTTTGAAAGTTTTTGTTATCTCTGTACAATGACGACTAAACAATTAAATGTTTGTTAAATGACAAATGCGTGATTGTGTTTCTCCGCTTGCTAGATTGAGCAGCTGAAGCAGGAGCTCAACAGGAAGGAGTCAGAGATGCAGGCCCTTCAGACCAAACTAGAGACCCTGACCAATCAGAACTCCGACTGCAAGCAGCACATCGAGGTGCTAAAGGAGTCGCTCAGCGCCAAGGAGCAACGGGCCAACACGCTGCAGACAGAGGTCAGTACATTCACACAGAAAAGTAGCTGTTGGTCCATCGCTGGCAACCTCCATGCGCTGGGCAACGGGTCCTCATAACCGACTCGCATACCCAGATGCTAACACAGGTTGCACAACTGGTAAACTGCCGGATTTTCCCCCGGTTTTGTTCTTTCTGTTTTTGTGATGGACGATGAGGGGGGGGGCGGATATGCTTTCTTTGTGGTTGGCTCCTGTAGTCAACCAGTGAGCTTGATGCATGAGGGAGGCTCAGTCAGTCAAACGGCTGGATGGAGAAAGCTGGCAGCCTTTTCCTCTTCGTCTTTGGAAACGTCTACACTCAATGGCACTAATGATTTTATCACTGCTATTAGTGATGGCGGCGGGTTGTACATTGAGAGATGGAGGCGTGTGTGTGGGGAGGGTAGCGTTTAGCATTTTTTTTTCCATCATTCTCTTGACTTGGAAATTTAGAACTTTAGATCTCTTTGTTTTAGGCAGTTGAGAACGGCCTGCTATCCATGTCCACTTACAGGAAGCAATTTGGGCCAAAATTAGGCCTAATTGTCCATAGATGTGCAAGGAATTTTGGCCCTCGCAACCAGCAGAATACATCATACTTCAAGGAATTTGTTTTTTTCCCTTGTGTATATGTTTTAGTGAGAGTGTCCATTTATTTTTTTTTCACAGTTCTTGCACACAATTTATTTACATTTGTAATTTGTTCAGGCATTTAGTCTTCAACCCGTCACTTATCTAGTTTGTAACTTTAAAAGGACAATTGTATCGTCCTTCACAAATGATCTTGCTTATTTTTCTTAACGAGGAGAACCTAGAAATTAAATGTTTCCTCATGCTGCACTGCATCTTTAAAAGTTTTGCACAATATGTTGAAAGAGTAGTAGACAACCCACGGAGCGCACAACAACATGCTCGCTGTCAAGTCTTAAATACTTTGCCCCGGCTATTGAAATGGCATTTTCCCTCGCTTCGGGAAAAGCCAGCTTCCTGGATTTAATTGGCAAACCAGAGGATGAGAAAAGAGATTTTGAAGGCACGGCGATTCTTTTAGGGTCTCCCTTCATTCCTTCCGTCTTCTCATATTATTACTTCACGTCCCTTAAACAATTTGTTCCAGCTTTCCTCCATCGCATTTAAAATTCCTAAAGATCCCCAGATTTCCTTCCGGGGTATCATACCCCTCCACATATACGTTAGTGGGTTTTCTTCTGTGTGTCTGTACTGGTGTCTCCTGTCCCCCAGACCTCGCTTCACCTCACAGACACTAGTCTCTAAAAGATATTCCCATCAGGATGGGACAAAGAAGGGACCTCAGCGAACAGAGCCGGCACTGTGAACGAGGGGAATGAGAAAATGAAAGTGTATTTATTTGTCAGTCAAAGTTAAGGATGGCTTCCAAATGGACGGGATTGAAAACGGCTCCAGATACCTGGAAAATGTGGGAAAATAGTGTGTAAGCTTTGTGAGTTGCCCACATCTGTGGAAACCTGAGCCTTTAATACATTATGTGTATGTGTCACTCTTCCCCCCCGATCACAACAATGCAGAACTGTAATTGTACTCCAGCAGATCAGGTGACTCATAAGAGACCTTCCTTCATATTTAACTAGCCAGCGACAAAGCAACAGGCCTCCGTGGTAAAGGGGCTTGCAGGTACTATGTTGAGTTTTCTTCGAGAAGAACTCAAACATTGTACTGAAAGAGGCCGAATCCGTGGTAAGACACGTGGACCTGTCCATTTAGAGGCACTCGTAGCACCATTTAGATGTAACTGTTTTGAGATTACAAGTCAAAACCCTTTATGGGGAAAAAAAAGCTAAATATACAAAATAATAATGACAAACCTGTGACAGGCATGAAGTTTGACATAAATGACTCAAACCAAGCTTGGATGCCTTATTTTTTCAAGAAGGCGTAATTTTAGGCATAATGACTTTTTGTTACTTTCAAGTCTTATTCATTACATCATGATGTTAATTTAGAAAATTATAGTCCCATTTAACTCGCGGCTACTTTCTTATTGACAGGTTGTTACCCCAGTGTTTTCAATGTTTTTGTCTTTTAACTGTTACAAGGTTTCTTCAATTCCTTAAAGTTAATACAACACTTTGGTTGTCTAAAATAGTTTGCTTGTACTCCTTTCCTCATGATGAAAAATGCCAAATTTCCAAACCAGAAGCTACAAAACCACTGTTCACAAACCAATGGGTGACATCACAAGGACTTCTTGTATATATGGTCCATGGTTATGACAGGATAATGATTTAAGCCAGGAGTCTGAGCCCTGAGGCCTCCCCTCAAACGAGGCTTGGAAAATGCCTGAATACATACAAACGCTCTGTCCTACAGCATTTATCGGTTAATGAATATTGATTATAAGCTATATTTTCTCAAATCTACTATATCTCTTCGACCAAATCACACATTAAGGGATCTTCCTCATTCAAGACCAATCATTTTTATTTTTCCATTCCAATTACTGAGTCTGCTCTGAAACAGTTTAAAGCATGCTTTGCAAATCTTTGATTAAAGCCATATTGAATAGCACAAATCTCTGCAATATATCAAAGAATCTAATATGAAAAACACAACTTGAGGTTTTTGTGTGCTGTAGGGGTTAATGGCCTACAATGTTAGTTTTCAAGGCATTGCTCAACAGTAACCGGAGGATGGACCAAGACACTGCATGTATGACTTATTTGACACAACGTTTTCTATTTTTCCATTGGTAAAACTGTCCATAGTAATAAACAACATGCTCACTAGCATAATTAATGCATGAATTGATTATTGTGAAAAATTTGTCACTCAGGACTTTTTATGATTCCACAATACTTTAGAGCTGCTGTGTTCACAGCAGTGATTACAGCGTTGGCTGTGTTGGCCTTTGAGTTTCTCCCCAGTGTGTCCCCACTTTGTCCTCCACTTTGTCATAACAAATTATTTCTACGTCTCGACAGGATAAGCTGCTCGTAAGATGATGGTTTTGATTCGGTTGTCTGTGTTGAAGTCTGCTCCCAACTTCCTGTAAAATAAGTCGGGCCTGTGTGTCACGGCTCACTGGTTAAAAGGTATTGTGACATTCTTGTGAGAAGACATACAGGCTGTCTTAGCAAAACATGTTTTATGGCACGGCTCCGTTTGCTGTCTTCTTAAGTGGTCACTCTAAAGCCTTGAGAGACATAATTTGGATTTAATGCAAAACATCACATTTGATTTATTTAATATAATTACACTTCCATTTTCTGAAGGTTTGATTCATATGTTCACCCTCACAGCCTACCATTTTGTTGGTGGCCACTTACCAACAAAGGAAAAATCTAGACCAAATCTGAATCAAGCACATAAATAACACATTAACATAATGTCTGACATTTTGTTCCTCGCTGAATGCCAGCAGAGGAGTTAGTAGCAGCATGCCTCTTTAAGTACTTTCTGCGACTTGGCAACATGTATTTTTTGCAGAAAGCAGTCTGTGGTATTTCAGTTCAACTTCGTCAGATGTGACCCCACATAGCCTGTGTTTTCTCTAATCACCAGTTCCAGCAGTGTGTCCTGCCAGAAGACTTCCACTGAGTTTTGATTTTGAGGTGTAATGACCTGAAGAAGATATGCATGACTCAAAAATGACTTTCTAACATCAACCATAACAACAATGAAGAATGGGGAGAAAAGAAAATCTGGAGAGGGAAAAAAAAGTGAGAGAATAGAGTTGCTTGATGGATGTGGAAGTTGTGGACTTTTGTCAGTGAGTGATGCGATGGTACAGTGTGCTGTGGTCCCCGCTGGATGGCTTTTGTTGATCCTTCCTTGTTCACTTTCCTGATTAATGGTGCACACAGGTAGTGAGGCGGAGGACAGATGTGGTCTCAACCTGGTTGCAATCTGCCCTGTGCTTTTCCTCCCGCTGTGTTCTCGCTCTCCGTCGTTCTTCCTGCGTCATTCACTTTTCCTCCTTCTGTCCACATTTTCTCTTCCTTCGTGCCACCGTTTGTCATCCCTCCCCTCATTTTCTCACCTACTTCTCCTTCGCTATCCATTCGTGTTCCCCATCTGTTGGTACCACCGCAAGAAGGAGTGTGTGTACAGCTTGGGTGAGAACTTGATGAACACATAAAGACTGTGGGCTACTCGGCTTAAGCAAATGGAAAACGGTCGCTTTTTTCGGCTGGCCACTAATTATTAACTTCAAATGTAAACCCTGGGCCTCTCGCGATGAGGCCTTTGCAAACCTGTTATAATATTACCCTCATCTGATCCTGACTGACCATGGTCACCGCTCTCAGACCCAAGAACATGCTCCTATGTTCCTCGGGTGTTGCGGTTGGGGATGCAGAGTGAGCAGTAAAGCGTCGGGGCCCCCAATAAAAACATGTGGCCGTCCAAAATAAAGCCCCGGCAAGTTTGTCTTAGCCCATGTGGAAAAGCCATAAAACGGAGTTATGGGGGTCAGAATGGAGATGGGATATTTAATGGTTGACGAGTTAACATGTGCACAACAAAAGGAGCTGACGGACACAAGCGTGTTAAATCTGCTGCGTATGCATATGCTCTCGATGACGTGCAGATTTGTGTGGTTGTGCATACTGCAGGTGACAATGTGTAGAACATCTAAGCTAAATTTCATATGATGTCATTGCTAATTTGAATGAAAGTCTAGAATGAAAGTTCATTTTCTTTCTCTGTATTGTTACATGTTTTCTATTTTTTGCACATAAACACATAGAGAAAATATGTCTTTGCTTAGTCTGCCGTCAGTCAGCGGATGGTTAACCAGTAGGCAGTGAGGTGCTGATAGAGATAGCAATAGACAATACTCCCCATTCTTTTATTCTGACCTCCTCTCTCCTCAGGGTCACCCTGCTTAGCTCAGACCACTTAACCTCTAATTTCAAAAACACACACACACACACACACACACACACACACACACACACACACACACACACACACACACTCACTCCCGCACACACACACGCTTACAAAATTACAGTCACACC